TACAACAAGCATTGTTAATTTCCTACCACTTTGTTTGTAACTCTGTATTGTTTGCATTTTCTTTTGTTATTTTGTAAATGGTTGTCTGTTTATATTTTCCTTCTTTTATTTTTAAAATAAAAAAAGGAAAGGAATGTTCAAATAATTATCTCTTTTTCTATTTATTGTAATATTTTGTTTTAAGTTGTGTTTTTCTGCTGATAGTAATTATGTTTTTTCCTTTTATTATACAAAATGATTACTTTCATTATGGGTAGTTGATACATGTACATAACATAAATTCTTTAAATGTATAAACCATTGCACACTAATATATTAAGCAAAAATTATAAAACAATTGTTTTTTTAAGTGACTAACATCTACTTTAAATGAAGTTAGCAAATTTGTTAGACTCATGATTCTTCAAAAACATAATGATTCACAGGAATGTGTAGTGTACCTAGGTTGTGCACAGACTTTGTCCATGACTGCAGTTAGTGAAGAAATGTTCCTTAGATGATCTTCTTAGTGAGACTATTAGAGATTACCATAGGGTCAGAAAACAAACAACTGGACCTTTAATAAGTTACTGATTAAAGCACGTCCTTCATATGCCTTTAAGGCAGCCAGGGATGTAAGAACAGTTTTGCTTAAATAAAAATTGATTCATCTTTTGGGCCTAGAGATGTAGAGCAAATCTTGACCTTCATTTCAACCTGTGTGAAGTTTTGTATCAGATCCCTGCTCAGGTCAGCATATGAATCTGTGAATCATGTAGGGACTATCTGTCTGGAAGCTGGCAATTCAAGGGTGATTTGTCCTAAATTTATATGAACTATTTCATCTCTCCTCAAGTCTTAGAACACCAATACATGAGATTTACAGGGAAAATCAACTACCAATGAGCAGAGCATCACAAAGTCTCTAGTCATGACCTAAACATCTAGTTACCTTGGATCCCAGGTCAGCCTGCACAAAAGTGAGACTTTCTCAAACAGTGACAATCATCCATAGATATTAGAGTAAACATTAAGGACTTCTCTGAGTAATATTCTAGAGTAAACATTAAGGACTTCACCTTCTAAACCAGAAGTAAGAAAATGATCAAAGAGATCAAACTGTGACCTTCTAACCCATTAAGCTAAAATCTATTTCCCAGATTTATTTACTATGCAACGAGGAAACTATACCAAATACTCATTCTAACTCTGACACATGTTCATATATACCTCACTGATGCAAACTGAGATTCTTGTCCATGATGAGAGAACAGATTTCCCAGGATGAGGTGAGTTCCCCACTTCCTCTTTGAAAGGACCTCCTTGGACCACACCAGGTAATCATAATAAGTACACTGTGAAAGACTGCATTCCATTGCTACAGTGATTAGGTTGAAATAATACATTTACATTATAAATTATATTGATATGTGTTACTATTGATACAGTTACTACATAAACATATAGGATTAGAATATAGATTAGAATGATTTTCAAAAATTTCCAGAAAATGTCCATCCAGTTGAATATTAGCTGAATAGTATACTCAGTATTATCATTGAGAATATAAGAAAACTTATATGACTTCCAAGATTATGTAACTTGAGATTAGAGTAAGAGGCCAAGTAAGTTATTTCTTTATTTCAAAGAGAATAATAAAAAAGAACAATAGCAAAATACCAACAACATAGACAAAAACAAAACAAAGCAAAAGCAATAAAAGTGATGCAGGGTTTCAGAAAAAAGTGAAATGAATACATAAACATTCTAATTATTAAGCAATTTTATTTGATGGCTCCAAATTATCACTTGGAACAAAAAATGCCCCTCACTAGCTTGACTAATGCACCTTTCATGTCCTTATTCCTCAGGGTGTAGATGAAGGGATTGAGGGAAGGAATCACCACCCCGTAGAAGAGCGCCATGAACTTGGGCTGGTCCCTGGAGACAGAGGAAGGGGGCTGAAGATATATGCTGATGGCTGGACTATAAAATAAGAGAACAATAACGAGATGAGAGGAACATGTTCCAAAGGCCTTTTTCCTTCCTCCAGAGGATTTAATTTTAAGCACAGCACGTCCAACATGGGTATAGGAAGCTAGAATTAAGCACAGAGGGACAGCTATTATAAAAACGCATGCCAACGACAGTGCAAGTTCATTAGCCTCCTTTTCACCACAGGCGGTCTTAATCAGAACCGGAATCTCACAGACCAAGTGATCCAGTTCATTGATGCCACACAGTGGCAACTGTAGTGTAGCAGTGGCCTCTGAGACAGCATAGGTAATCCCTGTCAGCCACACTATGGACACTAGTAAGAGGCAGATGCGCTGATTCATGATGAGGGTGTAATGCAGAGGCCTGCAGATGGCCACATAGCGGTCAAAGGACATAACAGCCAAGAGCAGACACTCTGTGGCCCCTGTCGTGCTGAAGAAATAAACCTGAGCTGCACACCCCACATAGCTGATGGTCTTCTTAGAGCTTCCCAAGTTAAAAAGCATCTGAGGCACAATGCTTGTGGTGTAACACATGTCCAGAAAGGACAGGTTGGTGAGGAAGAAGTACATGGGGCTGTGGAGATGAGGGTCTAACTTGGACACCAGGATGATGGCGATGTTTCCCATCATGGCCATGGGGTATGTGATCAGCAGAATAATGAACAGGGGCAGCTCCAGCCAAGGTCGGTCAGCAAAGCCCAGTAGAATGAACTCGTCAGGGTGGCTTTCATTAATTACTGTCATTGTCTTCAATTAGCTTCCTATAGTAAGAAAGTAACAAAAATGTAGAGTATTTGGAAGAATAGTAATATATTATTATTCTCATAATATAAGATGGAGTACAAGAACTTCAGGAACAATATTTTAAATAGTGTTGATCAGGTCACCCAATCTCTCTTGAGGACACTGTAAGATGAAATTCATTACCTTAGACTAATAAAATCTTCATTCCAAAATGGAATTTTCTCCTCCATACAATAAGGCTACCTTTGAATTCTGAGGAAAGTTAATGAAAATAGAAGTGACTGTTCTGAAAACACAAAAGTAATATTTCTTAAATTTACACTGCATTGAAATCAGCAGAGAAGACTGGTAAATTAATATTCTCTTCTGGCATCTAATGTAGTAGGCATAGTACGGGGCTGTGGGTCACATATTTTTTTCAGAACCATTTCTGTTTTGTGATACTGAAATAATAAAAGTTTAAAATGTTGAGATAACAATAATGGGAGAAAAAGAAAGATAACCTAGTACATTAGGGTTAATCAACATACCCATGTCCAGGAACACCTATTCACTGCAATAATTATATCATCTCCATGGGGAGGAAAAAGACTTCAGTGTTAAACAATGTACCTGAACTACTTAAAATTTAGCAGGGAGTTAATACATATTTTGAATATCATTTTCTTCCCCTATATATGGAAGCCACTTAACTGAAGTGTCAGAGTATCCCCATGCTCAAGGCTCTATTTCATGTAATTTTATTCTTGCAAAACTACTTATTTTGTAATTTGTCAATTTGATCACCATGTTAAATTTTATTTCATCCATTTATCTTGTAAATTTGTACATTTTATGAATTTTGGACAGTTACCAGTGACCAATTGGTTATGTAGTTACAAATATATTTTTGAACTCCAGGTAACTTCTATCAGGAGAGAAGTCAATTTTCCAGTTATGATCCTTAGTCTGATTTGGATAAAAAAGTTAGTATACATTTTAGGACATATATACTCCTGGAGTTTTCAGCTAAAATATATATTTAAAACAACAAAATCAAATAGTTGAGTAATGCAGAATTTTGAGAAACATAAATTAGGTAATGAGAGTTCTGTTCATCTTGATCCTATCCCTTAGAGGGCCAGTGTGTACAGGAAATGCACTACCCTTTGAAAGTGGTCATATCCAGATGGAAAATTAAGATAGAATCCCAGTGACAAAATTCAGAGTCATTTTGCAAGCCAACTGGTAGTTAAGGGTACCAACTGACTTCTTAAGTCTACAAAGCACAATCTTGCTATTGCTTAACATTAAATCCTTAAAATCATTCTGTCAACTGTCACACAAAGCTACTCAAAGCTAAGAATTGAAACTATCCATTTGTCATATGCTGTTCTAGGCCAGAAGTGTGCAATAACAATAATAAAGTTTAATAATGCCAACTAATCCTTAATAAGCCCTGTTTTCTAAATATTGCAATAAAATTTTTACATCTATTGAATAAATGAGCACCTACCCCTACCCCCTATGACATGGAAATTATAATATGTACAGTTTAAGATGTTGTTAGTCATTCATTACTGTAGTCTGCTACTAACTGCCAAGGTTCTAAAGACCAATAGTTGAACAATGCCTTAAATGACATTGTGAAATATTAATGTTGCAAGTTCATAATTTCAATATTCCCTAGGTGACATTTATACTTTAGGGATGAATACTGGATGGGTATAACCCTAATACCTTATTTAACTGACATTATTCAAGGTTATTTTTAGCACAATGTAGGAGTCTAAGAACATATTGTGACCTATATTGCAGATGGATATGGAATAACCATGATACAAATTAATTAAGTTCTAAAAACAAACATTAGGTAACTATCTGCCCACATTATTATATAATCACCTCTTGTTGTTTACTCACCTTTTACTTCCTTCAGTATTTTGAAGGTTTGATACACTATAAGATTTTCACCTTTATAGCTATCTCCAATAATATTATTCACTTCAATATCCTTTAAGCAATTTTGTCAATGTACATTGTTTTAAATTTTCTCTTAAGTTACTTACTGCAACTTTGGTCTGATTGGTCAGCACTCTTATCAAAAGATAAAATTAAAATACATTTAGCAATAGATATAATTATTTTGCATTGTAATTTGTGAATCAGGGCAACCTCCATTCTATAGAAGAGAACCATGAGTTTTGCACAGTGAGAGCAAGAGAAACACCGAACAATAGTAATTAGTTAACAGTATATTGCTTTAGATTCCTTTGCTAATAATAGTTAAATCAGAAGGAATTTTCTTAATGTGTAGAATCTCATGGAGAAAAATCTATTTTCTGGTATTTTGGAGGATCTGTCTGATCCTTTGAATCTTCATTGTGGTTATGTGGTACTTGGTTATGTGCCTCCAATTTAGTTTGTTGGTTTGTTAGAGCCAAGTGGAGGAGTTCAGTCCAGTTCTGAGAGAAATGCCCAGAGAAATGCCATCTTGTGGATGAGTCACTGTGATCTGCTGTGAAGTGCGTGTACACTCCACAATTCTAACCCTAACCCATGCTGTCAGTTTATGCCACTACTTTTGCCTCCTCGACTCAGTGACTTCTGGAAATTGCATTTCTGGTGAATTTTCGTCACTCTCAGCGCACAGGCATTTATTTTCTACAGTTTTTAAACTCACTTTAACAAAATATGCAACTCAGTCCCTCCCTCTGCCAACTGCTTAGTGTCTCAATGCACTTTTCAATGCAGTGCATCTTATACGTACTTCATTTTCATGATGTGCAATATTTTATATTCAATGTACTACTTAGCTTTATGTAGTAAAGATCATATGAAGAAATAGATGTTATTTTATTCTTCATGAAAGCATCTGGATGAAACATAGAAGCAAATGAATCTGTGAGAAATATAACTTTGTATTAAAATGACATGTCACATATTTACGTGTTTCAATGCTTTGTCCTTTATTCAAGTTTCTAATTCATCAAATATAGTATTTACTGAAATTTAAATGCATTTATTATTTTAAGTGATAGACAATTACAGAGAAAAATCTATTTCTTCTTAGCATCACTGAAATATATATTTTAAAGTATAGAAAAGGCTTCCTGGGATGAAATGCTCTCTACTTTTCATGTATATATTGGGCACTATGATCGCTATACATTCTAACAACCTCAGAGAATGCATGGCCTATAAAAACAAGTCTTTTTGCTTACCTTACATTGATGAATATCATTCAATAAAAGCTATGAATTTTTCATGCTTCACATTAGAATTTTTTCTACTTTCAGAAAAAACTATAGTACATAAACAAGTACAGTACTTGAGAATTAACTTCAAAATTATTATTTTTTCAGTTGATGTGATAATCCAAAGATAACACATATGGGCTAGGAAGACAATAGTAGGAAATACACAGAATGCCTTGAGAATGTGTTATTTTTATGCTGTTCATGAAATCTCTTGGGTATGGTTTTCAAACAGATATTCACTTATCCTTATCCCAACTGGGCTAGCAGACAATATTCCTTGGGACAGAGATCTTTCTGGAAATGCTTCTCATATACAATTAAATGACTACTGAATTAGTTGAAAAGCAATAGTTTAGATGTGTTCTAGAACAAACTCATTCAGTTTCCCAAGACATTAAACCCCTATTTTATTTGTGGACATACATTAGTAAATGTATATATGTATTTCTCTTGCCGCTGATACATAATAACTTTGCAATGTTATGGATACAGTGTGATGTTTCAGTACATTTATGAACTGCATGTTGATCAGCTGGGGAAGCCTAGGTTGTCCACCAGTAAAAGCACTAATCATTTGGATAAAAACATTCAAAATCTTCTCTTCTCACTCTTTGGAATTATATGAAACAGTACTGAATAGATCTTTTACTTCTTTTGATAGATTGATTCCTAAATATTTCAATTTCTTGGGGGGCTGGGGATTTAGCTCAGCCGCAAAAGCGCCTGCCGGGCAAGCGCAAGGTCGTGAGTTCGGTTCCCGGTACCGGAGAAAAAAAAAAAAAAAAAAAAAAAAAAAAAAAAAAATTTCAATTTCTTGGATATTACTGTAAAAGGTATGGTTTCCTTAATTTCTCTCTCCGTCTGTTTGTTGTTTGTGTATAGGAATGCTACCAATTTTGGGGTGTTGACTTTGTATCCAGCTACACTGCTGAATTTGTTGATTAATTCTAGGGATCTTGTTGTGGAGATTTTGGGGTCTTCCATGTAAAGTATCATGTCATCTGCAAAAAGTGATAGTTTTACTTCTTCCTTTCCAATCCTTATTCCTTTTATTTCTCTCTCTTCTCTAATTGCTATGGCTAATGCTTCCAGAACTATATTGAAGAGGAATGGTGACAGTGGAAATTCTTAACTTGTTCCTGATTTTAAAGTAAAAACTTTCAGTTTTTGTCCATTTAGGATAATGTTGGCTGTTGATTTGTCATAGATGGCTTTGATCAGGTTGAGGTAAAGACCATCTATTCCTATTTTCTGTAGAGTTTTTATCATAAATGCATGTTGGACTTTGTCAGAAGCTTTTTCTGCATCTATTGAGATAATCATGTGGTTTTTTGTCTTTGGCTCTAGTGATATGGCATATAACATTTATAGAATTGTGAATATTGAATCATCCCTGCATTCCTGGAATGACTCCAACTTGGTTGTGGTGTATGATTTTCTTGATAATTTGCTGCATTTTATTTGCTAGTATTTTACTGAGTATCTTTGCATCCATATTCATTAGGGAGATTAGTCTGTAGTTCCCTTTCTTGGTTGGGTCTTTCTCTGGTTTTGGTATCAATATGTTACTTGCCTCCAGAAATGAGTTAGGGAGAATTTCTTCCTTTTCTATTTCATTGAAGAGTTTGAAGAGTGTTGGTATTAAATCTTCACTGAATGTCTTGTAAAATTCTGCTGTGAATCCATCAGGGCCTAGGCTTTTCTTTGTTAGTAAGTCTTTAATCATGTTTTCAATCTCATTAACTGATATTGTGTTGTTCA